GGCAGGTTTTTTTTTTCTATTGAAAAAGAACTATACAGCTCAGTGGGCCTTACCTGATATGAATTTTTTTATTGTCTATGGTTTGAAGCGAATTCAAGCTGCGGTGAATGGTAGCACCTCTCGTGGCTGAAAGGGGTTGATGTCCCATCACATACAACACGTACAGCGCTTTGGATTGTGTCAATGCACTGCTGGGCGAGGCCCTTTCCGTGCCATGCGCGGTTCAGTGCCATGGTTATTTGACCAGACGTCTCCACGCTGGCCAGTGAAGCGGTGGCAAAAGGTGTGGGAGCATCAACGTGGCAGCAGAGAGCAGTAATGCCCCTGTATTACGTCGGGGGGGTTGCGTTCGTGAGAGGTGCGACGACGAACATTTCGAAACAATCGTAAATCGAGGCGATGCACGGGGGTAGCAGTGCCGGGTGGTGGAGGGTTACGACACATTTATAACTTACGCGATCTAACCCAAAAAACCTTTTATCATGAAGGGCAGCCGTAGTAGTAGTGGGTGGGTGCTGGAGGCAAAGGCTGAGAGGCGGCGGATAACGAGAAAGAACGGACGACGATGCGACGTTAAGCGTGTGGGGTTGCGGCGACGTTAATCTGGTAGCGGTCGTCAATGAAGCGACGACGTCGTTTACGAAACAACTTAAAAGCGAGAGGGGACGTAAATCGGGACATCATTACGCAACAAAGGACGCTTGCTGTACTGCCCTCTGCTGACCTCCACGAAGCAACGTCCCGCGGCAGCCAAAGCCGCCTGTACAGAACATTGGGGCGCGCGAGGGTGACGGGCCCATCCGAAGCGCTATCCAGGCTCGAGGCTGCTTAGCCTCCGAAAATCCGACGATATTGGGGTTGAGGGGAGGGGGGCAGCCCGCGTTGCTCTGGTCCAGAGGTCGCAAACGGGTTTAGATTCCTTACCCGTACCCGTACCCGGACGCGGGTACGGGTACCCGTTCCCTACCCGTACCCTACCCGAAATGAGTGACAAACGGCTACTCACCAGTGACTCACGGCCTACCCGTACCCGGCCGCACCAGGGTCGCAAACGGGTACCCGTGCCTGGCCGAGTACGGGTAGCCGGGTATCGGGTACCCGGTTGCGATCTCTGCTCTGGTCACAGGCGGTCACGTGGAACGCGTCGAGACTCTTGCGCAATCGCTGCGCGTGCATCGCAATGCTAAGGCGGGTCAGACGGCGAACCGTTGCATCGTTCTGCCGATGTGATGGGGACTTATGTAACGCACACAACTTGGGGGCCGTCCATAAATGACGCCACGCGATTTTGAACGATTTTTGCCCCCCCCCCCTCGTCACACGGCGTCACAAAAAGTAAGACCCCCCCCCTCAAATATGACGTCACAAAGCTCTGCCCCCCCCCCAAAAAAAACATGCTTCAAATCGCTTTAAACTATTGTCATTGTAGTGCGTATTTAATGTGGCTCTGCACTCTGATGTTGTAGGAGAAAACATTTATTAAAAAGTCTACTCAATCAAGCAAAACGTGTTGTCTATATTTATTTAAAGTTGCGCATTTTGATGTGACGTCACATTTCTCACCCCCCCCCCTCGTCACACATCGTCACAAATGTCTGACCCCCCCCCCCCCTAGGTGCGTGACGTCATTTAAGGACGCCCCTTGGCTCGCATTCCGATTGCAATGGGACTCACGGTGCCACCATCGTCGTGCATTTGTTTGGGTGCAGTTGTTTATTTAAACCATGTCAGGCCCACGGAGATCGACGGAAGCAACCTGTCTTCTTGGTTCTTTCGGTAAAGTCACGTAGAAGGGAAATAATAAAATAATAAAAATAAAACATAATAAAATAATTCTCACGACGTTTCGGCCACAACGCAAGCAGCCGTCCTCAGGTGAAGAACAGGTCTGTCGAGAAGACAGACTCAGGTGAAGAACAGGTCTGTCGGGAAGACAGTGTCTGAATGAAACACCCCAGGCTTGGAGCGTATATTTAAGCTGGGTTGGAGGGGGAAGAGCGCCTTGACAAAAAGAAGCAACCTGGCCACACGTGATAGCTCGTCGTCTGGAAATTCATAGCAGTTAAATGCTATCGGTGCATTTTTCTAGATCCGACCACGGGGAGAGCATACAACCCCCCAAATATACAGCAGGCGTCAGGGGTAGGGATCGAACCCACGACCTCCTGTATACCAGGCATAGGTAGTTAACATCTCCTAGCCACCGTGACGCCCCATATGTATTTCAATAGCCCATGCCAGAAACACTCGAGTAATCCGTAGCACTGCTATTACATAAATATATACACTCGTGGGGCCTTTATCCAAACCGCTCATGCAAATATTTATTGTTGCATTCAACTGCCAAACACAAACTTGTGCATTGCATTACAAAGTAGAGTTTGCTGAGGAACTGATGCACATTGGCAAGCTCATTTCTTCTCAAAATTATACTTCACTAACCAAGCACTTGCTTTTAAATTTAACAATATAAAGCATCCAATTAGCTGATTCTACTTTTGCATATTTTGTTTTATTTTATGACAACGATCGTGTTATCATACGCATGCGAACAAAAGAAAGTTAGTCCTGAACTCTTTCAGCCTGGTGGAGAAAATCTCACTTTTGTCAGGAAATGGCCTAATAAGTTGTTTCGGTGTATGAATGTTGAACTTCTTTCGCACCGTACGTAGCCAACCGTGCTAATCGGCGTTGACAATAACAGAACTCCTGCAGTCACTTGCAATTATTCCCTTCTCTCACTCAACATTGGATGGCGCTCCTTCTAAGCGCGTGCCATTCATACAACACATTCAGAAATTGAATTACAGTGGTCAACAAAAAAAAACAATTTTTTCTGGCCTGGACTTTTGCAGCTGTTTTAGACTAATTTCAGGGTGCTGATTCCAAATCTGATCTCAGATTTGCTCTATCACATCTCATTTCTATGCTATCGGTATACCCCATTTTCATTGATTTTACCCGAAATTAGCTCTGTCACTTATGATTGCAAGTTGTTGCCAGTCAGTGACTGCTTTAGTGTTAAAATATGGTGCTGTATTTTTAGGATAGTGTGGTTATAATATCATTTTATGTAGATAACCACATTTATTTAATATTTTTCTTCTGCAGTTTTTATTGAAAATGCAATATTTGATATCTCAAAAACCTGATGTGATAGACAGAAACTGATCCCAGATTTGGAATCAGCACCCCAAAATTACCTTAAACCCGTTGGAATACCTAATACCAGAAAAAGTGTGTTGACCAGTGTTATCAGAGATGGGCTCAGCTGCAACCCTCGATGTATAAGTAGTTTTGTTGGTTGTGCGGGACTTTTGTCAGCTGCGCTGAGATAATAAAACTCGCGACACTGGAGAGAGAATGTGGGTTAAGCGCAGGGTGGCTACCTGGATTCCTGCCCAGGATGTCTCAAAATAGCTCAAAATGGCTCAGAATTTCTACGTCTCCAACATATCCATATTGAGCCTTCTGAACCATCCAGCCACCGTATTAATTAACATTTACACTCACTCTGCATCGCGTACACGTTGGGCATCGTAAATGTCTTTATTATATTATCTCATTTTGATATTTAAAAAAAACATTTGGAGTCCTTTCTGATGATGGTCAGGCCGGGAAAGGCATTTGAGGGTTGTCAAAGCGTCTCACAAGTGAAAGTAAAGAGGGAAAAGATAACAGAATTGAGATTACATGGCAGGGGGTGGTGATAGGGCTTCGGGGCAAGGGTTAGCATCTCATTGGTTTCTGTGGTTAGGGTCAGGGTTTGGTGAGCTGGTATAGGGTAGGATAGGGATAGGGTTTGATTGGTTCGTGTGATTCAGGGGTAAGGTTTGTGTTAGAGTCTCATTGACTAGAGAGGTTAGCATTAGGACCTGGTTTGCTATCGTGTTTAGGGTGAGTTTTCATGCAAGTGCTAAATTCTGATTGACAAGTGTGGAAGTTGACTCAGTCCACCTTCCTTCCAGCGTTGATAAGAATGAGCACCGGTTTGTGGGAAGGTCAAGAGTGGTTGCCCTATGGAATGGGTGGGTGAGTGGATGGGTGAGTTGGTGGGTAAGTGGGTGGGTGGGTGGGGCGGCCGTTGGACGCAGGAAGCAGCTGCCGTTGGACGCAGGGCTGGTGGTGCACGAGGCCCCGCTACTCCGGAGCGGCGAGCCGTCCCTTGGGTTCGGGATTGGTTGGCTAGTACAGTATAGGGTAGGCATAGGGGTGGGGATTGATTGGCGAACACACTTCCCCAACACGGCGTCACGACCTCTTGCAAGTTCCCGAGCGAGCGACCTTTTCACCCTCAGACATGCTTCGTCTCTTACGACCAGCCCCCCGCCGAAGCAAACGAAGCGGTGGGTGGGTGAGCGGGTGAGTGGATAGGTGGATGGGTGAGTGGAAAGGTGGATGGTTGAGTGAATAGGTGGGTGGGTGAGTGGATAGGTGGATGGGTGAGTGGGTAGGTGGGTGGGTAAATGGGTAGGTGGGTGGGTGATTGAGTTGGTAGGTGGGTGAGTAGGTGCATGAAAGAGTGGGTGAGTGAGATGGTGGGTGGGTGGATGAGTGAATTGGTGGATGGATGGGTAAATTGGTGGGTGGATGGGTGAGTTGGTGGGTGGTGGGTAAGTGGATGGGTGCGTTGGTGAGTGGGTAGGTGGGTGGGTGAGCTGGTGATTGAGTTAGTGGGTGAATGAGTAGGTGGGTGGGTGAGTGAGTGGGTGGGTGAGTGAGATGGTGGGTGGATGAGTAAATTGGTGGGTGGATGGTTGGGTGGGTGGGGCGGCCGGCGGCCGTCACCCCAGGAAGAAGCTGCCGTTGAACGCGGGGCCGGTGGCGCACGAGGCCCCGCTGCTCCGGAGCGGCGAGCCGTCCCCGGCGCAGCGCGCGCTGTCCGGGTATGTCTCCCCAGCGAACACCTTGACACGCGGTGCGTTGCGCGACACCCAGCGCCGCAGATAGGCCTCGTCGTCGCCGCAGCCGCAGCCCCACGGGTTGTTGTGCAGGTAGACCTCCTGCAGCGCGGCGAGGCGGTCGAGCAGCCCACCGGGCAGCGTGCTCAGGGAGTTGTGGCCCAGCCGCAAGATCTCCAGGCGCCGGAGGTCGTCGAAGCTGCCGGGCGCGAGCTCCTCCAGCTCGTTGTTGGACAGGTAGAGGCGCGTGAGCTTCGACAGCCTGGGCGCCGCATGCGTGCGAGAACGCGGCCGTGGTTAGCTTTCCGTGGGGACGCGCGGCGAGATGCTGTCGCCGGTCGACAAGGGCGGATACAGAAGCTTCCCAAGGGGAGTTGGGTGGTGGGCGGTCCCTATTTTTCAAACTAATAATTACAACTATTTTAGTTCAGAATATCAGAATATCTATATATATAAAATCGTGCATGTCTGTCTGTCTGTGTGTGTGGATTTCGGACCATACGCACTTTCATTGGACGGCGGTTGCCCCTGGCAATGGCTAGCGACGCCTTCGCCGCTTTCATTGGACCTGGCAACGGCTAGCGACGCCTTCGCCAAGGGCTGCAGTTTCATTGGACGGCGGTTGCCCCTGCCAACGGCTAGCCACGCCTTCGCCGCTTTCATAGGCTCCATAAATAATTAAATAATTGCCATTACACAGTATTGTTCGAGCGCTGAGGGGGGGGGGAAGGCACGCCACCCGTACCCTGCCTCTGCCGGCTGGACAATTTTGGCGAGGCCGCAGGCTCTGCACGCTACTAGGCCTCGACACCCACCACGCCACTCTGAGGTAAATTCATCAAAGTTTTTCCTACTCTTCACTCCACCCCCACCACAATGTGTGCAATTTATATTAATTTTAAACCCAACGCGCCAACAATCGATTACTTAAATGTTCACTGTACAAATAGTCATTAAGCTGGGTCAGCGTACTGCCAGTCTATCATGTAGACTGTAGCCTGCTTATTAAACTCGGTGAGCGTACTGCCACTCTATCATGTACACTCTAGCCTGCTTATGAAGCTGAGTGCGTGTACTGCCAGTATATAATGTGGACTGTAGCCTGGTTATTATAATCGATTCTTTATATGTTCTTTGTACAAATAGTCATTAAGCTGGTTGAGCGACCCCAGTTCCATTCCAACTCACGCCCACCACCGCTGACGATTATTTGAAACGGACCTGGGCCTCCCCTAGGTCGACTCAGCCTCAAACGCGTAACTGCTGTCGTGTGTGAACATCGTCACTGGGGAGACAAAGGCGGCCGGCCATCGTGGATCCAAGTCCCGGGCGAAGCCGGGTCATGTGTATGTGTGTATGTGTTTATGTGTATGTCTGTGTGTCTCTATGTATGTGTGTATGTATGTGTGTGTATGTGTTTGTGTGTATGTGTGTGTGTATGTATGTCGGTTTTTTTGTATGTCTTTATGTGTATGTCTGCGTGTCTGTATGCATGTGTGTATGTACGTGTGTGCATGTGTTTGTGTGCATGTATGTGTGTGTGTATGTATGTGTATGTGTTTCTGTGTATGTATGCGTGTGTATGTATGTGTGTTATGTGTGTGTCTGTGTGTCTGCATGTATGTGTGTGTGTATTGTGTATGTGTTTGTGTGTATGTATGTGTGTGTTTGTGTGTATGTGTTTGTTTCTGTGTATGCATGTGTGTATGTATGTGTGTGTATGTGTTTGTGTGTATGTCTGTGTGTGTATGTATGTGGGTTTTTTTGTATGTGTTTATGTCTATGTCTGTGTGTCTGTATGTATGTGTGTATGTACGTGTGTGTATGTGTTTGTGTGTATGTATGTGTGTGTATGTATGTGTGTGTATGTGTTTCTGTGTATGTATGTGTGTGTATGTATGTGTGTTATGTGTGTCTCTGTGTGTCTGCATGTATGTCTGTGTGTATTGTGTATGTGTTTGTGTGTATGTATGTGTGTTTGTGTGTATGTGTATGTCTGTGTGTATGTATGTGTGTGTATGTGTTTGTGTGTATGTATGTGTGTGTGTATGTATGTGGGTTTTTTTGTATGTGTTTATGTGTATGTCTGCGTATGACGTCTCCTGGCCAAACCCCATTTGGCGGAGCCAGGAGATTGAATTTTCACCCTCGGGGCTCCTCCAGAAACAACAAAAAACCATTGCGGATGGCCACGTGGAATGTTCGAACGCTCACTGCGGAGGAGAGGCTGCCACTCCTCTGTCGGGAGCTGGACCGGTACCGCCTGGATCTCTGTGGCATTCAGGAGGTCCGGTGGACCGGTTCTGGCTCCTGCCACCATGAGGGGTGGACAGTCCTCTACTCGGGGCAGGAGACTGCCAAACAACAGGGTGTGGCTCTTCTTCTGAACAAAAGAATGAAGGGGGCGTGGGAGCGTGGCGGTGAGGTGTGGGAAGCTGTAAGCCCCAGGATACTTTGGGCTCGCCTTCCCATCAACCAGAGGCGAGGAGTGGTGGTCGTGGTTACTTATGCCCCCACCGAAGACGAACATCCGTGGAGGGATGCAAGCAAAGCCGATGAGTCAGACGCTTTCTATGACCTCCTGTCACAGGTGCTGGCTAAAGTGGCCACTCGGGACAGAGTCATCTTGTTGGGTGACTTCAATGCCCGAGTTGGTCATGATGCTGACACCTGGTCTGGAGTGATTGGAAGGCATGGGCCAGATCAGCTCAATAATAACGGTAGGAGGCTGCTAGATTTTTGTGCAGCCCATGGGCTTGTAATTACCAACACGCTCTTCCGGCATCGGCGCATCCACACAACATCATGGATACATGCCGGGTCCAAGCAAGAACATCTGCTGGACTACATAGTGACGGACCAGCGGATGCGAACCCATGTCCTTGACACCAGGACCTACCGTGGAGCTGATCTGTCCTCTGACCATCGACTAGTCATCTGTAAGATGCGCCTGCCTTTCTTCCACTCCGGTGGTGGGTGTACACCCAGGATCCCATTCCAACCAAAAGTGGCCTGGTCTCAGTTAGCTGATGAAAGTTGCAAGCGAGAATTTCATCATCGCTTGCAGCTGGGGTTGGCATCGTCCCCCACTCCACCTGATGTCGAGGGTAAATGGGCGAGGTTTAAGACTGTGACTCATGCAGCTGCAATGGCTGCTTTGGGTACGCGGTCCAGACCTCCCCAGAAACCCTGGCTGACAGAGGAGGTGTTCAGGTTAATTGAGAAAAAGCGACAGGCCCACTCTCATCGCCTACAGCATCCCACGTCAGAGAATGAGGAGGTTTACCGCAGCCTTCGCTCGGAAGTTCGGAGAGCCGTAAGGCGTTGTAAGGATGGGTGGTGGTCGCGGGTTGCTGAGGAGATGGAGTCTGCCTCAGTGGCCCGTGATCACAAATCACTATTTAACTCCATCAAAAAAGTAACCTGCAGCGCCACACCTATTACCATCATTAGAGGAAAAAACGGTGATCCAATCTCCGACCCCCAGGAACAGGTTTGCAGATTTGCTGAGCATTTCTGTGAGGTCCTGGGGGAGGGAAATTCTCTCAGCCAGGAAAACATCATGGCACAAAGTGGGGATAACCCTGCTGAGGCTGCGGTGCCTCAAATATTGGAAGAGGTCACCCCCTGTGAGTGGCTGGCTGAGGTTCCAGCTGTTGAGGAAGTACTGAGGGCGATCCGGAGTCTGAGACCAGGGAAGGCACCGGGCAGAGATGATCTCCCAAGCGAAATGCTGAGGGAGGGTGGCGTTTGTGCACAGACTGCCCTATATGACATCATAACAACAGTCTGGACCACTGGACGGGTTCCGCAGGACTGGAAGGATGCCCTGGTGGTCCCCCTCTTTAAGAAGGGGGACCGCACAGACTGTAACAACTACAGGGGCATCTCACTCCTCAGTGTGCCGGGTAAGGTCCTGGCAAGGATTATTCAACATCGCCTTGCTAGGCACGCTGAGGAGGGGCTTGCGGAGCCCCAATGCGGTTTCAGGAAAGGGCGGTCCTGCACAGATGCCATATTTTCTGTCCGTCTGCTACAGCAGAGGTGTAGGGAATTCCAAAAAGACCTACATCTCTGCTTTATTGACCTGGTCAAGGCCTATGATACCATCAGTAGGACTGGACTCTGGGTTGTTCTTCGTGCTTTCGGAGTCCCTGACCCTCTGCTCACGATCATTAAGGACCTTCATGATGGTGAGCGGGCCCGGGTAAAACTACGTGGCCGGGAGTCGGAGCCTTTCCCTGTACACCTTGGGGTGCGACAGGGATGTCCTCTGGCTCCCACATTATTTAACATCTATTTTGACCGCGTAGTTCGTGAAGCCTTCAATAGCTGTACCGGGGGAATTTCCGTTTGGTACAGATATAATGGGAGGCTGATCGACGCCCGGGTGCGATCAAGGGATGGCTCCCTATTGGTCAACCACGTTATGTATGCCGATGATTTGGTAATAGCTGCTCATTCAGAAGAGGAGTTGGAGGCGCTGCTGCTGAGACTGGAGCGTGCCACTAAGAGGTGGGGCCTTACCATCAGCCCCACCAAAACCAAGCACCTGCCTGGGTATTTTGTACCATCGGACACTCCACCCCCACAACTCCCAATTGGTGATGGGGCAGTTGTGGAGAGAGTGGAGAGTTTCCCATACCTGGGCAGTGTGCTTATGACCGGCTCCAGTCTATCAGCAGAGGTCTCACTCCGAATCAGTCGAGCGGCAATATCTTTTCATCGGTTGCGTAACGCTGTGTGGAAGCTACCTGGTCTGTCGCTCCGCACGAAGCTTCAGGTCTTCTCGGCCACGGTCATTCCCTCCCTTCTCTACGCTTGCGAGACGTGGACCCCCCTGGTGGAGCATCTTCGCCGGTTGGAAACATTTAGGCTGGCCTGCCTACGATCCATCCTGGGTTTAACCAGGCTGGATTGTGTGAGGAGCTCACAAATCCTTGAAAGATCTGGGCAAAGTCCCATCAGTGAGCTCCTCCGGCAGGCAAGGCTGCGTTGGCTGGGTCATGTAGCCCGCATGCCCAGCCACCGCATGCCTAAACAGCTTTTGTTCGGCCGGATCGAGGGGGCTAGACGGGCGCGGCACGGGCTGGAGAAGAGATGGAGTGATGTGGTACAGGAGGACGTGGAGCTGAGTGGACTTGCCGATGACTGGTACCAGCGGTGTCAAGATCGGCCTCAGTGGAGGAGGCTCGTGAAGGACGCTACTGGGCAGTTGGAGGCAGTCGCCCTCCAACAACAACGGAGGGCGGAGGAGCGACGCTCACAACAACGAGCGGAGCGCCGGGTGGCTAAAGCACAGCAAGTTGGCACAGTAGGGGGCACAGTTGGTGCATCAGCCAGTCATCTCGGTCATCTCGGTCAGTCGACCCGTGGCACCTGGGTCTGCCCCGTGACCTCCTGCCAGCGGGCTTTCGACACTTCACGTGGCCTCAAGGTGCACTTGGCCTGGCACAAGCATCGTGGTGACGTCACCGCCACTTAGTGGCGAATGGCGGTTGTTGTTGTTGTTGTTGTCTGCGTATCTGTATGTATGTGTGTATGTAAGTCTGTGGATGTGTTTGTGTGTATGTATGTGTGTGTCTATGTATTGTGTGTATGTGTTTCTGTGTATGTATCTGTGTGTATGTATGTGTGTTATGTGTCTGTCTGTGTGTCTGCATGTATGTGTGTGTGTATTGTCTATGTTTTTTGTGTATGTATGTGTGTGTTTGTGTGTATGTGTATGTCTGTGTGTATGTATGTGTGTGTATGTGTGTGTATGTGTTTGTGTGTATGTGTGTGTATGTATGTGTGTGTATGTGTTTGTATGTGTTTGTGTGTTTACGCTCGCATTACACAAATGTGTTGCAGGTCTAAGGCGTTCCTCGCGCAGCATTGCCGCTTTCTTTTTTCAGTCGTTTACTGCCGTACGCCCCTGACAGTCGTGTGTGTCTGCAGCAAGCGCGTGTATGTGTACCTATGGACGCGCGCGCGTGTGTTGTGTAGGGGGAACGGTAGTGTAGTGCTTAGCGTGCTGTCTGTGTCTGTGTGTGTGTGTCTGTGTGTGTGTGTCTGTGTGTGTGCGTGTGTGTGTGCGTGTGTGGTGTGTGGGGAGCGGTAGTGTAGTGGTTAGCGTGCTGTCTGTGTGTCTGTGTGTGTGTCTGTCTGTGTGTGTCTGCGTGTGTCTGTGTGTGTGTCTGTCTGTGCGTGTGTGGTGTGTGAGGAGCGGTGGGTGTAGTGGTTAACGCTACGCTGCGCTACAAACCCGGCGAACCGAGTTCCATTCCCGCTCACGGCCACCACCGGTGACGATTATTTGAACCTCCCCTAGGTCGACTCAGCCTCAAACGAGTAACTGGTGTGGCGTATTAACATCGCCACTGGGGAGACAAAGGCGGCCGTGCGTGAGTGGTGAGGGAGGGAGAGTGGTGAGGGAGGGAGAGTGGTGAGGGAGGGACTCAGCCGCAAAACAAGTAACTGGTGTGGCGTATTAACATCGCCACTGGGGAGACAAAGGCGGCCGGCCGTCGTGGATACAAGTCCCGGGCGAAGCCGGGTAGTACAGCTAGTTTGTTTATACCGGAGGAGCGAAAACAACCGAATAGCGCCAGTCACATAATTCACGGGGAGAGAGAAAAAGCAAACTCCAAATATATATTCTTGGTTCGTTTGGTAAAGTCACGTAGAAGGGAAATAATAAAATAATTAAAACATTTACATCATAAAAATTCAAACAATTTGTGAGATTTTATAAAATTCTCAAAATTCAAAGAATTTTTATTATGTTTTATTTTTATTCTTTTATTATTTCCCTTCTATGTGACTTTACCGAAAGAACCAAGAATATTAATCCATGCAGTCACGAAAGCTTTAAATCGAAACTCCAAATATATTAGTGTCAGGATCAGGATTTAACCCACAATCCTTTGTACACTCGGCGAGGGAGATAACATCTCGCCAGTGCATTACCCCCTAGATTATAAAGAAGGCCCTATGCATGAACGAAAAAAAACATTCAACCTATTTTTCCGGTAAATATCAACAAAAGACCAATTTTCGTGGCAGAATATAAGGAAGGTACAACAAGAACTACTCCTGCACTGCCTCCTGCTGCCCACCACATTCACCCGCAGCCTATAGCACTCCCTGTGCACCAGGGGGCGCCCACATGAGCGCTACTCGGGCATGGGTGGGTGACCATCCTGCACCAACACGGGCACCCCAAGGGCCGGACACGATTTGTTGAATGCCAGACAGCTCGCCCGCCTGCCCATCGTCTCGCCACCATGGGGGCGCCACGGTGGCGAGATGTTGACTACCTCGCCAGGTGCACACTAGATCGTGGGTTCGATCCGGACCTTGGCGCCTGCATATTCGGAGTCCGCGTATTCTCCCCGTGGTCGCGTGGATTTTTCTGCGAGTCCTCCGGTTTTTGCCTCCACATTTAGAAACATGCTTTGAGAGTATTTGGCTGCTGTAAATTTCTACACGATAAGCCACCTTGTTGGACTATCATTTGTGGCCAGGTCGCTTCTGAAAAAGAGCTATACAGCTCGGTGGGCCTTACCGTCTGCCTGCCTGCTCACACAACCACTCACGCACACGCTCGCCCGCTCGCTCGCCCACCCGCTCACGTACTTGGAGAGCGCAGTGGCCGACACGTTGCGGATGCTGTTGTCGTTGAGCCAAAGCACCTCCGTGTTGACGGGGATCTCAGCGGGGACGCTCGGCAGCCCCCGGTAGCTGCAGTCGACCGCGTTGCCCACGCACGAGCAGGCGTCCGGGCACGAGCCCCACGCCCCGAGCTGGCAGTGCGAGTCTCCGCCCAGGGCGGCCGTGTCCACGCTCCGCACAGGGAACGCCGGGAACGCCGGGGACGCCACCGCTGCAGCGAACGGCATCGGGGTCCGTGGACCAGTGCGCACCTTTCACCTGCGGGAGGTGGTGGAAACGAAATTTGTTCACTCACCCGTTTGTTCATTCGTTCGTTCGTTTTGTTGGGTCATTCGTCGATTAAGTCAGCTGGCAGGACTCTGATGCCACTCTTTCGTTCGTTCGTCTTGTCAACCGTCGATTCAGTCAGCTGGCAGGGACCGTGATGCATGGGGGAGGCATCCATTCCCTTGAGGGTCGCAGTCCACTTCAAATGTCAACCGCCAACCGAAGAGCGCATTTTGACTCAAGATGTATTCCCAATCATCGGACGATTCCCAAAAAAATCTGAAGCGTTCGTGTGACGCGCCCACCTTGAGGGTGTTCTGACTGAGCCAGTGGCTCAGGTAGAGTACGGTGCAGGAGCTGCAGTCCCAGGGGTTGTCGTGCAGATGCACCCCCTCCAGGCTCTCCAGCCGGTCCAGGCAGCCCTCGGGCAGCGAGCGCAGCTGGTTCTCGTGCAGGTGCAGCACCTTGAGCTTGGGCAGCCGGTCGAAGGTGCCCTCGCGCAAGAACTTGAGCCTGTGCCGAATACAGGCGACGGATCCCGTTGTGCACCGACCCCGCTCGTGCATTCGGGAAAGCGACGCTTTTTAGCGGATGATTAAAGAAAAAGTGCGACCCAGATCACTATGACCCAAGTCACCGTTGCAAATGAAACTCGATGCTGGTCTCTTGAGTTCTCCATAATCAACGTTTTTGGGTTTAGATCGCGTTATTTATAAATGTGTCGTAACCCTCCACCACCCGACACGGCCAATCAGTAAAAAAGTGTCACGTTGACAAAAGACAAATAGTTCACTGCTTTAGCCCACCGGTGTGTTGAAGCCACAACATTTACAATTTGAGTTCTCGCCTGTTTCAAAGAAATCAACTTGAATTATAACAGTATTCGTGACTCGATAGAGTACAAGGTGCTTTTGTCCGTAATCATTTTATGAATTAATTGGTTCGCAATGTGTTTGCAGTGGTGCACAAGCACGCATAACAAACAACAAAACCAACACATTGGACAATAACACTGCCCGAATAGGAAACAGACACGTTCATAAATGCATACTATTAAGGCAGTGTCATTTGACGGACGCGGCGAGTGTTTCATTACGATTCTATTTCATTGCACCCAATATTATTACGACCCCATGAACCCGGTGTATACCAATTGCGTGCAATAATTGTATTGCATCGCGAAGACAGAATAGGGCGAGATGGATGTGGCGTGCCACTGTAATTAGTGGAACAGTGCTCTGCTTAGAGACCACTCCAATGTCGCTTCTCAAACAACAACAACGGGGGGGGGGGTGCGATGGTGGCTCTGCATGTCTGTAATACAGCACTGGAGGCAGCGAGGGCTGGTGGATCACACAAAGATTGCGAAACTTCCCTCCATTTGGCGTCGAGGTGCAATACGCTGGCTCGTCGGGAGAAGGCAGTGCAGCAAGTGGAATCATTTCCTTCTGTGCGGGGATGATCTACGGATGCCCCCTGGTGCGTGTGGGTCCCCCCCCCCCCCCCCCCCCCCCCATGTAATAAACAACTCATTAATTTTTCTCTTCTTGGTTCTTTCGGTAAAGTCACGTAGAATGGAAATAATAAAATAACAAAATAAAACATAATAAAATCATTCTCACGACGTTTCGGCCACAGGTGAAGACCAGGTCTTCACCTGAGGACGGCTGCTTGCGTTGTGGCCGAAACGTCGTGAGAATTATTTTATTATGTTTTATTTTATTATTTTATTATTTCCATTCTACGTGACTTTACCGAAAGAACCAAGAATATAAATCCCTGCAGTCACGAAAGCTTTAAATCGAAATTTAACTCATTAATTGCCTGAAAGCATCTTAGCACGAAAGCCTAATGCAGCAGGACACCTCCTGAAAAAGAGTCCTTTGGCCCAGTGTGGCTTTCCGGGATGAATAAGTAATCTATTATATTGTTCAAAGAGAGATTTTGGTCATCATAAAGCCGCCCCACCACTACCCCTACTTTCCTCACCCACCACTACCGACTGCTGGGTAAAGACAAATATCCCCCGTATAGCCTTCGCAATCTGTTGGGGCAAGTGCTGTTAGCGAGCACCTGTGAAGGCTGCCACGGCACACGAGGGGGTGGGTGGCCAGCAGAGGTGGGACAAAGTCATTGTTATGCAAGTCCAAGTCGAGTCTGAAGTCATCAAATTCATGACTCGAGTCTGACTCGAGTCCAAGTCACATGACTCGAGTCCACACCTCAGAGGTGGGACAAAGTCATTGTTATGCAAGTCCAAGTCGAGTCTGAAGTCATCAAATTCATGACTCGAGTCTGACTCGAGTCCAAGTCACATGACTCGAGTCCACACCTCTGGTGGCCAGCACTACGCCAAACCGCTTTGTCTCTCTAGTGGTGATGTTTACACACCGCACCAGGTACTTAATTGAGGCTGAGTCGACCTAGGAGAAGCCTGGGACCAGTTCAGATAATCGTCACTGGTGTTGGCCGTGAGCGAGAACTGAACTCGGGTCTCCAGGTTCGTAGCGCAGCACGATAACCGCTACACCATCGCTCCCCACTTCCCCCACCACCACCCAAACAAACCCATCCCTGTGTCCCTGATGAAGAGGCAGGGCCTCGACAGAAAGAGGTGGGGTCTAAAGAAGAAGGGGCGGACCCTAATCAGGAAGGAGCAGGGCCTAAAGAGGAAGAAGCAGGGTCTACAGAGGTTGAACTCACCCTGCTGATTTGAGGTAATGAACACATGGAATCAAATGCGTGCAGCAGGCAGAATTGCTTTAGTGCAGCAAATATGGCCACAGGCCGACTAGTTTATTTTATCTTCTTGGTTCTTTCGGTAAAGTCACATAGAAGGGAAATAATAAAATAATAAATAATAAAACGTAATAAAATAATTCTCACGACGTTTCGGCCACAACGCAAGCAGCCGTCGTCGTGAGAATAATTTTATTACGTCGTGAGAATAATTTTATTATGTTTTATTTTTATTATTTTATTATTTCCCTTCTACATGACTTTACCGAAAGAACCAAGAAGATGAATCCCTGCAGTCACGAAAGCTTTAAATCGAAATTTATTTTAGTTAGTTGTCCTTCCCCGCACCTCGGATTAGCACACTTGGCTACATAAGGAGTGCGAAATAAGTTCAACATACATACGAGATACATACAAATCGTTATTACTGTTACAACAGCCTGAGCCGATACCACCGCGCACTGACTTGTTGTTGTTGAGGTTGAGCACGCGCAGGTTCTTGAGCTCGTCGAAGACTCCGGCGGGCAGGTAGGTGAGCTCGTTGTTGGCCAGGTTGAGGACGGTGAGGCGCGTGAGGCCTCGGAATGTGCCCGCCTGCAGCGAGGAGATGCGGTTCGAGGACATCCACAGCTCCTCGGTGTCACGCGGGATGTGGAAGTGGATCCCCGCCAGGTCCTGCTTCGCGCACTGGATGATGCGGCCGCGGCACGAGCACCTGGGCGGGCAGCCGGCCCATGCCAGCCCGGCCCACAGGGCCACGGCGAGCAGAAGCGGCCTCAGCATCGGTGCTGCGCGATTTCAAACACAACGTCAAAATAACAATGATTCCATAACAAGAAAAACAATATAGTTTGTTCTCACACTTACCTAACAAGGGAAATCTCAACGAGTGTCTTTGATTCAGGAGGGTCCTGCCAGGCTTTTGCAGTCGGGGACGATGTTGCTTTGTGTAATGTCCAAGCAGGTTATATTTCGACATCGGGATATTTGGCCAATACCATTGTGTTGTAACATTGTAGGGTTAAAAAAAATTTTTGTGTTTCTTACAAATGAGGGAAGAGGACGTCCACTACAGAGATGGAGCGATGAAATCAGCTTTGAGTGTAGGTGGCAGGACAGTGAGAGTTGACATTAGCTTGGGAAATTATTGTGTGATTATCGAAATCCGAATTGCAGTGTTATTGTGGTGTTCGTCACATTTATCTCCTGTCTCCGCTCTACTGGGACCCCTATGTTCGCCCTCACCTTATAATGATTATAATTCTAATAATATAATTCAATATGTTTTATTATATACCCAGGAAAGCCTCACAGTCTAAATATTATCTCACGGGAGGGTTCCTTGAATTGGGATGCTTGGCCCAACACAATTTACATTTTATGTTTTTAGCTGTGGAAGAAAATCAGAGAACCCTGAGGAAAGCCATGCAGAGCAGGGGGGGGCAACACACAACCTGCATGCGCACAGAAAGGTGCCCGAGTCTGGAATCTAACCCAGGTCCTGGGAGGCGCCAGTGTTCGCACGACCATCGTGGCCAAAGCCACTGACGTTGGCACTGCCACACCTCACGGAGGCTTACTCCGAGACACGTGTTCTTGATTTTGGGTTCAATCTGAAAAATCCGGAAATCGAGGCCTGCATTCTGAATGTTACGTTATTAAATACATATTTTTATGTTGATCGGCAAGCGCTGTAAGGGTTTCATTAAAGTATGACAGGAAGTTACTTAATGTTTGTATCGCCATTTTGTGCCTTTCCCAGAATAATTGGTGTCACGTGGCATCTGGTGACGTCACTTTTGTTAGCATGAAGCCATGTTAAATCATTACGTAGTTATGTAAATGATCGTACAATGCAGACAAAGATATCAGAAATTGTCCTTAAAAATACAAAATTGTTTGTCGCATGTCACTCGGTTAGAGATATATATATGTTTTATTCGTCAAGATGAAATTCAGCCACAGTAATTGCAGAAGAAACGTTCACGTGATCGGGTTTATTTTGGAGTCATTGGTGGCTGGACTGAGGACAATTCTCTCGACGTAGTACTTGAAAACTTAGTTTAATCACAGGCAGCTCCCTGAATTTAAAGCCAAGCGTGTGTGTCAGCAGTGACAGCTCAGTCCTTTGACACGAGGTCCCCATTCCTGATCATCCACGTTCTTTATTTAACTCCCACAAGCAAATCACTCATAAAAAAAAACAATCGGCCAAACATCCTCAACGGGACACTGGAAAGATAACCTGGAGGTGTATTTAGGCTTTCCTGAGTAAAGAGCTTGTTTTTTGTTTACCTTGTGTGCTTTTATCCTGAACTGTGCTGCAAGCGCTAAGAGATGTCGTGATGAGAGCATAGACGGGTGTATATTTGTCTCTACAATTATTTGTCAATCCACTGCTGGATTCACCACGCGGCTCAGTGCAGGTTCAAAATGGGGAGAGCATAGGTGGGAGCATAGAAGTGCAGTACAACAATGAAACATTTCTGCATTACCATCTACCAACAATGTAGCCCTGCAACAGCCTATAACGACTGGCATGAACAACATGTGCCCATCCAAGCACTTTGAAGGCTTATACCGCCTTAGCTTCTGATATCTGTGGAGATTAGAGTGCATTTAGGGTGATTTATATTTGACATAAAAATACAGCACATACGATACGAATTGTAATACTGCTGCTGTATACAGCCATTGTATGTTCTTCAATTCTGCATTGCGATTTTTTTAAAGCTGTATATAACTGTAAATCACGTATGCTTACATTAAATTTCACATGGAGTGCATTCACTTTAATATACAACAGCAACAACCACACATTGTTGTACAATGCCCAGCAATGTCCGTCCATCGCAATTAAACGACAGTGCAGTATTATCACGAATCGTTTAGATACGTCACCGAAATGCACAACTCACCGGCAGCCCGTTCACAAGGACCATAAAGAAAACTGAACGAGCTACTGTTGCCTTTGTCAGCAGAGCTGGCTGAGTGATGCACCACCAGGCAGTCAGTCCTCTGCTCCGTTAAAACAACACCGGTGGCTTTTCAATGTCAGCAGGTCGCTCTTGCCCTTTGAAAATGTCTGGCCACAGTGCTTAAATGAGACACTATATGGGAGGGGTGGGGGGGGGGCAGGTTGCTCTGATGTCCCAACCCTCCTGCCCACCGACCACCCTGCTTATCTTGCCAATTCTAAAGCCCTTATCTCATTTGCTCAATCTGCTCGGAGTCCCCATGTCTGCAGAGCCTTGGCCCCCTGGTTAAAATTTGATGGGGGCCTCGTGCATAACCGTGCACAGCAACACTAATGTGAAGTCATCACTGTGTGGGTCATACATTGTCGTGACTGAACTTCAAAGCATGGCATTGTGTTACGTATGGATAAGAAAAGTTAATTGGCTCGGGGAGGACATGTGGCTGATGGACGAGGCCGGAGCTTCGTAACATTAAAATTAAATTCACGAGGCACGGACTCGGAGCCATCAAAGCAAACAATGCAACCGTTAAATTTCGATTTAAAGCTTTCGTGACTGCAGGGATTCATCTTCTTGGTTCTTTCGGTAAAGTCACGTAGAAGGGAAGTAATAAAATAATAAAAATAAAACATAATAAAATAATTCTCACGACGTTTCGGCCACAACGCAAGCAGCCGTCCTAAGGTGGAGAACAGGTCCGTCAAGTAGACAGAGTCTGAATGTCACGCTCCAGGCTTGGAGCATAAATAGTCGCTCCAAGCCTGGAGCGTGACATTCAGACTCTGTCTACTTGACGGACCTGTTCTCCACCTGAGGACGGCTGCTTGCGTTGTGGCCGAAACGTCGTGAGAATTATTTTATTATGTTTTATTTGTATTATTTTATTACTTCCCTTCTACGTGACTTTACCGAAAGAACCAAGAAGAAAAATGCAACCGTTGAAAACTACTCCGTATATTATTGTGTAAAAAACACTAATGCACAAGAGGGGTAACTGAAAACTTGAATGCACGCTTTGGGGTGTTTTTGTGTGCACGGATGTAGAAGCCACAAAGCGCGCTTGTCCTTCCAGTAAACATGCCGACGTTGTGCCGACGTTCCACGTTTGTAGGCTGCACATTTAATAAGGCCGCGGATACGACTGGTGCAGAGGTGTGGACTCGAGTCATGTGACTTGGACTCGAGTCAGACTCGAGTCATGAATTTGATGACTTCAGACTCGACTTGGACTTGCATAACAATGACTTTGTCCCACCTCTGAGGTGTGGACTCGAGTCATGTGACTTGGACTCGAGTCAGACTCGAGTCATGAATTTGATGACTTCAGACTCGACTTGGATTTGCATAACAATGACTTTGTCCCACCTCTGAGGTGTGGACTCGAGTCATGTGACTTGGACTCGAGTCAGACTCGAGTCATGAATTTGATGACTTCAGACTCGACTTGGACTTGCATAACAATGACTTTGTCCCACCTCTGAGTCGACTGGTGCAATGGAATTGCAGTCAAAGGAGAAATAATAAACCCGGTGGGGACGACCAATGCAGAGATGCAGCGATGAAATCAGTTCTGGCACAAAGGCATTCATTGTGCGAGCGTGTACCTATGTCTGTACGTTGAACTTTTTTTGCACCGTACGTAGCCAACCGTGCTACTCGGAGCGACGTGTACAAGACCACCACGATGGCTGGCGATGGCAATCCTGGTCCGGGATAGACCATGGCTGGTGAAAATGATGTGTAACTCATTTATAAATCAATTGCTTGCATGCCACAGTGTGAAAGTGTCATTTCAAGATCTAATTGGGTAGCTACGTGTTGGTCAAAGGGGCCGTCCATAAATGACGTCACGTACCTAGGGGGGGGGAGGGTCAGACATTTGTGACGAGGGGGGTTGAGAAATGTGACGTCACATCAAATGCACAACTTTAAATAATATAGACAACACGTGCGTATTTAATGTGGCGCTGCACTCTGATGTTGTAGGAGAAAACATTTATGAAAACGTCTATTTAATTAAGTAGAACGTGTTGTCTATATTTAAAGTTGCGCATTTTGATGTGACGTCACATTTCTCAACCCCCCCCCCCCCTCGTCACAAATGTCTGACCCCCCCCAGGTGCGTGACGTCATTTATGGACGGCCCCTTGGCAAATTAACCTTATGGCGGGACCCCGGGGTCCCATAAAACCCCGGCTCTCGGATAAACATTACATTATACTAGCTTTTTTGCCTGTCCAAGGACGGGTGTATATTGCAGTAAATCTGAAATATTCAATAGAAAAATTGTTCAGCTCATGATCATTAATTAGGGGGGGGGAGTTGCCCCATGTGGAGTGACGTCACCCGCTAATGGTTATTGTGGAGGGGTGCGGCATGTGGAGTGACGTCACCCGCTAATGGTTATTGTGGAGGGGTGCGGCATGTGGAGTGACGTCACCCGCTCATGGTTATTGTGGAGGGGTGCGGCATGTGGAGTGACGTCACACGCTCATGGTTATTGTGGAGGGGTGCGGCATGTGGTGTGACGTCACACGCTCATGGTTATTGTGGAGGGGTGCGGCATGTGGAGTGACGTCACACGCTCATGGTTATTGTGGAGGGGTGCGGCATGTGGAGTGACGTCACACGCTCATGGTTATTGTGGAGGGGTGCGGCATGTGGAGTGACGTCACACGCTCATGGTTATTGTGGAAGGGTGCGGCATGTGGAGTGACGTCACACGCTCATGGTTATTGTGGAGGGGTGCGGCATGTGGTGTGACGTCACACGCTCATGGTTATTGTGGAGGGGTGAGGCATGTGGAGTGACGTCACACGCTCATGGTTATTGTGGAGGGGTGCGGCATGTGGAGTGACGTCACACGCTCATGGTTATTGTGGAGGGGTGCGGCATGTGGAGTGACGTCACACGCTCATGGTGATTGTGGAGGGGTGCGGCATGTGGAGTGACGTCACACGCTCATGGTGATTGTGGAGGGGTGCGGCATGTGGAGTGACGTCACACGCTCATGGTTATTGTGGAGGGGTGCGGCATGTGGAGTGACGTCACACGCTCATGATTATTGTGGAGGGGTGCGGCATGTGGAGTGACGTCACACGCTCATGGTTATTGTGGAGGGGTGCGGCATGTGGAGTGACGTCACACGCTCATGGTGATTGTGGAGGGGTGCGGCATGTGGAGTGACGTCACACGCTCATGTTTATTGTGGAGGGGTGCGGCATGTGGAGTGACGTCACACGCTCATGGTTATTGTGGAGGGGTGCGGCATGTGGAGTGACGTCACACGCTCATGGTTATTGTGGAGGGGTGCGGCATGTGGAGTGACGTCACCCCCTCATGGTTATTGTGGAGGGGTGCGGCATGTGGAGTGACGTCACACGCTCATGGTGATTGTGGAGGGGTGCGGCATGTGGAGTGACGTCACACGCTCATGATTATTGTGGAGGGGTGCGGCATGTGGAGTGACGTCACACGCTCATGGTTATTGTGGAGGGGTGCGGCATGTGGAGTGACGTCACACGCTCATGGTTATTGTGGAGGGGTGCGGCATGTGGAGTGACGTCACACGCTCATGATTATTGTGGAGGGGTGCGGCATGTGGAGTGACGTCACACGCTCATGGTTATTGTGGAGGGGTGCGGCATGTGGAGTGACGTCACACGCTCATGGTTATTGTGGAGGGGTGCGGCATGTGGAGTGACGTCACACGCTCATGGTTATTGTGGAGGGGTGCGGCATGTGGAGTGACGTCACACGCTCATGGTTATTGTGGAGGGGTGCGGCATGTGGAGTGACGTCACACGCTCATGGTTATTGTGGAGGGGTGCGGCATGTGGAGTGACGTCACACGCTCATGGTTATTGTGGAGGGGTGCGGCATGTGGAGTGACGTCACACGCTCATGATTATTGTGGAGGGGTGCGGCATGTGGAGTGACGTCACACGCTCATGGTTATTGTGGAGGGGCGCGGCATGTGGAGTGACGTCACACGCTCATGGTTATTGTGGAGGGGTGCGGCATGTGGAGTGACGTCACACGCTCATGGTTATTGTGGAGGGGTGCGGCATGTGGAGTGACGTCACACGCTCATGGTGATTGTGGAGGGGTGCGGCATGTGGAGTGACGTCACACGCTCATGGTTATTGTGGAGGGGCGCGGCATGTGGAGTGACGTCACACGCTCATGGTGATTGTGGAGGGGTGCGGCATGTGGAGTGACGTCACACGCTCATGTTTATTGTGGAGGGGTGCGGCATGTGGAGTGACGTCACACGCTCATGGTTATTGTGGAGGGGCGCGGCATGTGGAGTGACGTCACACGCTCATGATTATTGTGGAGGGGTGCGGCATGTGGAGTGACGTCACACGCTCATGGTTATTGTGGAGGGGTGCGGCATGTGGAGTGACGTCACACGCTCATGGTTATTGTGGAGGGGTGCGGCATGTGGAGTGACGTCACACGCTCATGGTTATTGTGGAGGGGTGCGGCATGTGGAGTGACGTCACACGCTCATGGTTATTGTGGAGGGGTGCGGCATGTGGAGTGACGTCACACGCTCATGGTTATTGTGGAGGGGTGCGGCATGTGGAGTGACGTCACACGCTCATGATTATTGTGGAGGGGTGCGGCATGTGGAGTGACGTCACACGCTCATGGTTATTGTGGAGGGGTGCGGCATGTGGAGTGACGTCACACGCTCATGGTTATTGTGGAGGGGTGCGGCATGTGGAGTGACGTCACACGCTCATGGTTATTGTGGAGGGGTGCGGCATGTGGAGTGACGTCACCCCCTCATGGTTATTGTGGAGGGGTGCGGCATGTGGAGTGACGTCACACGCTCATGGTTATTGTGGAGGGGTGCGGCATGTGGAGTGACGTCACACGCTCATGATTATTGTGGAGGGGTGCGGCATGTGGAGTGACGTCACACGCTCATGGTTATTGTGGAGGGGTGCGGCATGTGGAGTGACGTCACACGCTCATGGTTATTGTGGAGGGGTGCGGCATGTGGAGTGACGTCACACGCTCATGGTTATTGTGGAGGGGTGCGGCATGTGGAGTGACGTCACACGCTCATGGTTATTGTGGAGGGGTGCGGCATGTGGAG